GGCTGGTCTCAGTGGTGGCAGGTGACAGACAAGGAGCAATGGGCTCTGGTTGCAGATGGGGGAGTTGAGGTTGGATAGTAAGAAAAACTGTCAGCAGGAGGGTGGTGAAGCGCTGGAACAGGTTCCCCAGAGAGGTGGTGGAGTCTCCATCTTTGGAGATGAATTTCAAGATCCAGCTAGACAAAGCCTTGGCTGGGATGATGTAGTTGGGGCTGGTCCTGCTTGGAGCAGGGGGCTGGACTAGATGTGACCCCTGAGGTCCCTTCAACCCTCATTTCTATGATCTGTGATTCTATGAATGTCTTCATTTCATTTCATGCTGCACAAAAACTCTTCAGTTCTCCATTGATAAATACAGTTGAGTAAGAAAAAGGTAGGAGATAGTGAGAAATAAATTTTAAGTTGGTACCACGGGCCGGGACTGCAGGGTAGGAGTGAGGGGCACTGGCAGTCTCAGGACTAGGAGATGTGGTGGGCTGGGGGAGACAGTAGCGGGGTCCAAGGGCTGTGGGTACAGGATTGCCAGCCCGGGCCGTGCTGCTGCCCTGGGGGGGCGGGGTGGGCGTGTCCCCTGCCTACCGCCAGCTGGCCCTGCACCCAGGGAAGCACCTGCCAGGTGGGTGCAGGATCCCTGCCCCATTGGAGCCCTATGCTGCCCCACGCTGGTATGCCCTCCCCTGCTACGCCCTGGCCCCCATCACACGCATACAGATCCCAGGCCTCCTGGCTCTGTGTGTGTGTGTGTGTGTGTGTACATACACATGCACACCCATCTCACACGCACAAGGACCCTGGCTCATGACACTGCCCCACATCCACAAGAGCCGATTTGTCTGACAGGCCGTCACACACGTGAGACATCTGGGACACGCAAGCCAGCTGTCATTCCCCCTCCAGGAATCCAAGCATCTCTCCCACGCACCTGCAAACAACCACAAGAATCCCAGCATCCGACACACAAACTGCCCCCACCAAAGAACCCATGTGTCCGACACAGTCATGTACACACATGTATGTCCCTCGTGTCTTCCAGGCTGGAACCAGGGGGATATCCCCAAGGTTGTTGTCACCACAGCCAGTAAAGCAGCAGCTGTAGGAGGAGCCAGTCTGACGCTAGGAGGTCCTGGGGCAGGAGGTGATGCAGACCATGCAGCCCCCTTCTGAGACCGAGATTCCCTCAGAGACCCTACAGCTGGCACTGGGGCATGACTTCTCCACCCCAGAGACCTGGCGTAAACGCTTCCGGAGCCTCCGCTACCTGAAAGCCAAGGGGCCGTGGGAGGTTTGCAGCCGCCTGCAGGAGCTTGGTCGGCGCTGGCTAGAGCCCCAGCACCGCAGCAAGGAGCAAATCCTGGAGCTGGTGGTGCTGGAGCAGTTCCTGGCCATCCTGCCTCGGGAGATGCAAAGCTGGGAGTGGGGACCTGGTGTGGAGACCTGCGCGGAAGCCTTGGCCCTGGCTGAGGGATACCAGCTGCAGCAGAAGGAGGATGAGAAGCTCCGGGTGAGAATGTTTCACCCTGATCATGGATGCTTCTGTCTCCATCTCCATGTGCTTGGAGGATGTTCCCTCTCAGCCCCATCTCTCCTAGGATTCCAGCTCCCCAGTGATATATTTATCTCATCCCCAGGTCACAGTGAGTGTAAAGGTCAAGGAAGTCTCAGATAAGATGCAGTCCACAGCAGCACTGCAGGAACCTGGTGCTTCCTGCCCGGAGCAACCAAAGACATGTTGTGTGGAAAGGCTTCTGGATGAGTCAGGAGAGAGGGAAACCCCAGGGCCTGGGGACAGGCCACCTCATGTCCGCAGAGAGGAGCCCCTGCCCCACCAAGAGCCAGGTGAGGTACCAGGTGGAAGGCCCAGATGCGAGTCTGGATGCCCGAGTGTCTGGACTGCATGCAGGGGAAGCAGCTCGAATGTCTGCCCCAGCCTGTGACAGGGCTGCAATATTCCTAAAGACATAACCATGTGGTTGGGCTGGGCCCAAGCTCTGATCTGTGTGTGTGGGCAGCTCCCAGGCTGGGGGCCCTGATCTTTCTTTCTGCATGTCTGCAGCACCCAGCAGAGACAGGCGTTATCTTGTTTGGGCCTTGTCTTGTTGCCATGCTAACAATCAGTGATGTAATTCATGTTCCAAAAACCTCTGCGCCGGATAAGGGGCTGGTGCAGGTGATGGAGAAATGAGACTCCCTAGTGGCCTCCGGCTGGTTCAGGTACAGTTAACCCAGGGCTCTGTCCTGCTGCAGATTCCCTTGTAACCGAGGCGACCTGGGAGCCATGGTACCCAAGACGAGGCCCTTCCCCTGGACCAGGTAAGGAGCAGTGATTTTATCCTTTCCAGCAGCAGGAGCTACTGTCTCCCAGTGCAGAAATCTCTGCCAGAACATTTTGATGGGGTCAGTGCTCCAACAGCTCATCAGTTCTGGTTCTCCCAGTGCCCCAGAAAGCATTTCAGGAGCCCTGGAGAAGACTGACCTTGCGTTTTCCCTCCCCCTTCCCTTTAACATCCCTGGAGCTTCTTTTCAAGGGAATGATGTCCCTGCAGGCTCTGCGATCACCACCCCACGCTGAGACAGTTACTGGGGCTCGTCTCCAGCCTCATGCCCATGGAGGTCTATTAGCAAGAGCTGTGGGGCTTGGAGTCTTCCTTCTCCCCCATCTTCCACACACTGAACCCTCTATCTTTCTTAGTCCCAGACCAGTATAGGAAACTAGCAGGGGTTTCCCTGTGCCGGCAGCACCAGCGCTACCCCGTGCATTCTCTTCCCCACCCTGCAGGTGCTGCGACCCCAAGGAGAGGTGAGCAGAAGCCTCCTGGAGAAGAGCCTATAACCCTGGAGCTGCAGAGGACTTCCCCAGGGAGACTGGAGGAGAGGGGCTCCCTGACACCTGAGCCAGGCCAAGTACAGCTCCAGGCGCTGTTTGAGGCCGTGGCAGTGTATTTCACGCAGAAGGAGTGGGAGCTGCTGGAAGATGAAGACAAGCTGCTTTACCGGGACCAGATGCTAAAGATATACCAAACCCTCGTTTCCCTGGGTAAGGCTCTGGTTGTTGCTTCTCCCTGGAGCTATGCAAACTCTGAAGTTTTGTAGTCATCTCCCTGTGTTTCAACAGTCTCATCCTCATGGACTTTTGGCTGGTGGTTTAAATCCATTTTCTCCCCACTGCTTTGTCAGTGATCAGACCTCTCTCACATTTCATACTGATATATCCTTCTTTATTTAATCCAGCTGCTCTCACTTGAATTGTCCCATTCTTATAGCTCCTGGTGCTTTCATATTCAACAGTTTCATGGCAATATGATCTCCCTTTCCCTTCTCAGCATGGTCATATCATCTCCAATTTATTGTGCCTTAAAATACACAAACATCTCTTCCTTGGGGAATTATTCATGGATTCTTTTCCCTGCCACAAATCCTTGGTTTAAATCTTCACTGAGAATAAGGTCCTTTCCACTCCTCTTTCTGGAATTACACTGATAAAAGAAATGCCATGCATCCAAAAGTTTTTCCCAATGTCTCTTCTTTTTTGGTACCTTGAAAACAGTCAAAGTTTTATCCTTCTGCTCCTAGTACATCACACATCAGTGAATATTCATGCCTGTCCCTGGTGACTGTCGATTTAATACCCTTTCTAAACCATATGCGTTTGGTGATTTGTTTCCTATGGCCATCCCTCCACAACCTGGGTGACAAGGATCATCGTTTATTGAAGGCTTCTCCTTGCAGTGCTTTCTCTTTCATTCTAAATGCTTATTCTCCCTTTTCCATCAAGGCCTTAGTAGAAACCTTGAGTTCATTGGGTCCAGTCCCCACGTCCCGGTAGGCTATTGTGTATCCAGTACCCAGTAACAAACACTCTTTAATCGCTACCCTGAACAGGGTATCAAGGTCCTACACCTGACTTAGTCTGCAGCATCCAGCAAGGACAAGTGGAGCTCTGGGGCTGTGATGATGAGGATGGTGGGGAAATCTCAAGGTCCGAGGATCTGCTGCCAGGTGAGTTGTAGCTGTCCCCTTCACCCAGCTCTGCTCTTAGAAATGCTCCATGCCCAGAGTGCCAAGGGGACCGGGAAACTGCAGACCTGGCCTGTGTGCTGCCATTCCAGGGCGCTGACCTCAAAAACAGTACATTATGCTGTAATGTGTCCCGGCAGGTGTTGTTTCCACTCCCTGAAATTGAGTCATGTGGAGACACGTAACTATTCCTTTCTTCTCCCTCGGATGATAGATGTTAGGGGACAATCAGGTTTGCTGCCTTGATTTTTCAGCCCAGATGTGGTTCCCCTGGGACACCATGATCTTAAACTTCCATATTCACGTAGCAATGTAAGAGTTCGTTCCCCAGTCCAGGGTATCCATACCTCTCTAATACCCTCTCCCAGGTCATGATGGGATTTGTAGCCCCACATCCATATTAGCATGGTGTGCAGAGGCTCTGTGTAGCCATTACTATTGGACAAGAAAAGCTAAAGCTGTCCTGGCTTCTGGTCAGGTTGATCTGGAACCCAGGATTTGTTTCATCATGGTCTCAGCCTGCATGAAATGGCCCCATGTCATGAGTACAATACAGAACTTTCAGGTTGTGGGGAAGTGAATACCCCACAGGTTGCACCAGAATTGTCTCCTTCGTGTTTTGTGTCCGTGGCCCCAAGTGTCACAAAGCCTGAGACTCTGCACAGAGTCCAGGTTCAGGTTCATGCCAAGGCTTTAGACCCAGTACAGACTCCTCTGACATAAATCTCCCCTGGGGCCTGTCAGAGGAGGAAAGCTCCATGAACTCATTAGTTGCAGCAGACAAAGCTCTGCTCCTTTCAGAAAAGAGAGACGGAGCTCTAAGACCACCTCCCCTCCTCCTTGGGTCATTATAGCATGAAGCCATTCAAGTACTGTCCTAATGAACATGTCCCACATGTCCTTCTCTTAGCAGGGCCTGAGGGGATGGGGCTGTCAGCTGAGCCAGAAATACTGAGTCTGGTTCTGAACTCCTGTGAATAGGGAACATTAGCCTGGCAGAGGGTACAGCCCTTCCCTTCCTCCCAGCACTTGGGGTTTTGGCAGTAAAACATTGATTTCTTGAGGGAACACAGGTCCAAGCCTGCTCTGAGGCCTGTCCCAGCAAAAGGAATAGAAGTGTTTGCCCTTTGCTGGCAGAGTAGGGATTAATTGGGATTTTCTTCTCCGTGAAGGTGGTGCCTGGCTGCTGAGCACAGCTGAGGAGCAGGCTCCTGCGGAAGGGTCTGTGAACCTGGAGCCCCCACGGACTTCCCCAGGGAGTTTGGGTGAGATGGACTCCCTGAGACCTGAGAAGGAGCAATGGCACAAGAGTCAGCAGGTGCCCAAAAAGCAGAAGGAGAATGTAGCAGTGAACCAGGTACAATCTCCAGTTGAGTGTGAGAGTGGAGAAGGGGCAGAACCCAGAAAGAGCCCTGAGTGCAGGGAAGAATTTGTGTTGCTGAGAGACCTAAAGAGCTCCTGAAAAGAGGCACTGCATCGAAGCCAATGCAGTGGGGTGGGCCTCAAATGGAACCAGGAGCCCACCCCTGCCTCAAGGTCAGGAAACCCTTTAACTGTCCAGCACTCCTGGCTCTTCACAAGTAAGGCACACTGGGGAGAAGCCCCACATATGCACCAAGTGTGGGGAGCACTTCACCTGCCTCTTCACAATAGTTGCTCACTGCCAGATCTATTCTGGAGAGCTCCCCTATTGCTTCACCAAACATGGGAAGAGCTCTTTGTGCCCCTTGGACCTGGTCAACCACTTATGAGAACACAGGGAAAAGCATCAGTACTCCTGTGTCAAGTGTCCTAAGACCTTCACCTATTTCTTCTCTCTGTCTCAGCACCAGCGGTTCTACCTGCGGAAGAAGACACACCGCTGCACCGAGTGCAAGAAGATCTTCAGCTGCTGGCAAGACCTGTCCCAGCACCAGTGTGTGCAGAGTGGGGAGCAGCCACGCCACGTCACCAAGCGTAGGAAGACTTTCAGGAAGACCTCCAAGCTGGCCAGACACTGGTGCATGCACACAAGGGAGAAGCCGCATCAGTGCTTAGATTGTGGGAAGAGCTTCAATCTGTCCTCCAGCCTGACCAAACACCGGCTCATACACACAGGGGAAAAGCCACATCGATGGTCAGAGTGTAGGAAGAGGTTCACCCGATCCTCTGACCTGGCTCAGCACCAGCGTATCCACACAGGGGAGAAGCCACATCAGTGCTCTGTGTGTGGGAAGAGCTTCATCTGGTCCTCCCACCTCACCCGGCACCAGCTTATCCACACAGGGGAGAAGCCACATCGGTGCTCACAGTGTGGGAAGACCTTCAACAGATCCTCCAACCTGGCTGAGCACCAACGTATCCACACAGGGGAGAAGCCACATCAGTGCTGTGTGTGTGGGAAGAGCTTCACCCGATCCTCCAAGCTGGCTGAGCACCAGCGTATCCACACAGGCGAGAAACCGCATCAGTGCTCTGTGTGTGGGAAGAGCTTCAGCCTAGCCTCCAACCTGACCAGACACCGACTTACCCACACAAGGAAAAAGCCACATCAATGTTCTGTGTGTGGGAAGAACTTCACCCGATCCTCCTGCCTGGCTGAGCACTAGCATATCCACACAAGAGGAGAAGTCACATCAGTGCTGCTTGTGTGGGAAGAACTTCAACCAGTCCTGTAGGCTGGCCAACCACCAGATCTGTGGAAAAAAATCCCCCTGTTCCTCTCTTCCTGGTCTGAGACAGCCCAACCTCCGCCCCCTTCTGCTTCAGCTCTACCTGGTCACCTAGGCGACTGGGCTTTAAAAAGTCCTATGGGAAGGGGAGCTCGGTTTTCCTTTGTCCTGTAGCAGGCATTTTTGGGAAGGACATGCAGTCATTTTGGGGACTCAGCCAAGCTTGGGCCTCTGGAGAAATCCTCTAGATGATTATACTGTCAGTAGATATGGAAACTTAGCCAGTATATTAGGATTAAGTGATTTTTAGATGTGCTGAAAGGGCCACAAGCCCATTTTTGTATGACTCATTTTATTAGCGATTGCTCAAGGTGTTTGGGTTTTTTTCCTCTTAAACTTATTCTGTTCTCTACCCCACCCCCACCCCTATTCTCTCCCTCTCTGATCAATCAAAGCTATCTGTTACAGCGTGCCTAGCTGTGAATCTCTGAGGGGAGAGACACGTCTTTATAACTCCCATTGCTCGGCTACCTAAGGTGGGCTTGGCTTTTTACTTTCCTCCGGTACCAGAGGCTGCTTTTGAATGCTTCAGGTAAAAGGAGCACCCAGATACTACCAGTGGGCAAAGTTCCCCTGAGGTCTGCAGGGTCTATGTACCCTGGACTGCATAGAGCCCAAACGTAGACCACTGCTTGGAAGGTAGCAATGTTAACCCAGGCTTGCGGGAGGTCTGCAGGAAGGGGGATGGCTGGACATAGGCTCCCCAGGGGAGACTTCTGAAGCATGGTTTTGGGCCTGGTACAGTGAAGTTGGTGCTTCAGTGTAGTAGCACCCCCTAGTGTTCCACTGCAGGCCCATCTACATGGGCTGGGGGAGAGGCCCCATTGGTGCTTGGAGTGTGGGAAAAGCTTCCCCTGATCTTACAACCTGGCTGTGCACCAGCATATCTACACGGGGAGAAGCCAGATCAGTCCTCAGAGCGTGCAAAGTGCTTCCTCCACTCCTCCAAACTGGCCCAACACCAATGCATCCAGATCCAGGAGCATCTATAATTCTGCCAGCAGTGCAGGAAAGTCTTGGGAACCTGCTCAGCACCCACCAGGGTCTGCATTGTGGCAAGTAGTTTCCTGCTGGTGGACTGCAGCAAGAGTTCAACCATTGTTTGGTCCTTCAAGGGCACCACAGAACCCAAAGGACACAGAGGCTGGCCCCCAAGGTTTGATGATGGGGAGGGGTTCAAAGGAAACATCTCAGGCAGAGGCCAGCCCAGGTGCTGGGGGAACCTGCGAGGAGATGATCTCCATAATTGTCCTTTCTGCTGATATCCCCCCAGTGTATAAATTTCCCCCCACTTTCCCTTTATTACAGCGTTTAAGAGAATAACCTTGTGACTTCTGAATGAGCTCAGTTCTTTGGCAGGAGGCCCGGTTTGTTGCCGGAGATGGCCATAGGAAGAAGGGAGGGAATGGGAGTTTGTTTGACACATTTTGAATGCGCCTGTTGCTTACTGAATTGCTAAGGGGCAGCGGAGGTTGGGGACAAGGTGTGTAGGTGAGGGTGCGTGTCTAAGGAACTGAAATCAGAACCACCCCTTTTCATGCGTGCACGGGTACAGATCAGTTAAGGTCCCTGATGTCTCTTCACAAGGCCTGATTTCAGAGCCAGCTTCTCAAATGCAGTTCCCACTGCTTTTTGTGACATAGTCTTATGGAGAAGAGAGTAGTGTGTTACAGAAGTAGATGCTGCACAGCATCTTCAGCAAGTGAGTGGGGATGTGGGAAAGTCCAACTGAGACCCTGGTGATGAGGTCAGGCCTTCAGTTACACCCATGGCCACAACCATGTTAGGCTCCAGTTCCTGTTGAATGATGGGATTCGCACCAGGAGGCATAAGCCAGTACGTCTTCTCTTTTGATTTCTCTCTCCTTAGTTCTGATTCCAGAGACCTGGAGGGCTGCTGAGCAGGGCGAAGTTGGAGTTGGTCAGTTGGAGCCCAGCTGCACTTTCCACATCTGGCAGCCTGTGCCAGGTTAATTGTTAACTATTGCTAGCTCTCTCCCCACCCTACTAAGTAAAATCCTCCAGTTTTACTGGCCTGTGGAAACCCAGTGAGCCTTTGGATGAAATGGGCCTTCACCTCTGCCCCGTGCTAGTTTGTCCAGACCCCACCTTGTTGCTTGTGGTAGAAATAGATGCATCCAGCACTTGAATAGGTGTGGTGCTCTCACAATGGCAGGTCCCACATCAAATCCTGCATCTTCTTTTCTTGCAAACCCCCCAACAGAAAAGAAATCTTGAGATCCTGACCTGTCAACTCATAGGCATCAGAGTGCCTTTTGGGAAGTGGTGGCAATATTTTGAAGAGCCATGGCACAAAGTACAGGTTCTTACAAATCACAAAAACCTAATTGCTGACCCGCAGCCCCAGAAACTGGCCCAAGAAGCAAGGGGAAGTTCCCACTTGTATATAGAAAATCATAGGGGTTAGGATCACAAGTCAACAGGCCAAAGGGAGGGAACAGCAACGTTGTGGTAACACACTCAGCGCCTTAACTCCCTACCACCCCTCTCCCCCTGCCACCTCCAGCAGTGTTCCCCAAACAAGTTTTTAGTCCCAAGTGTGGTCAGAGCTGCAGCTGCTTCCAAGTGCGCAGTTCCTTCAGTCCACAGTCCTGGTTGCCTGAGCCTGTGAGATCTCCAGCTCCCCTGTGCGCTCCTGTGTGGGGCTGGCCAGGTTCCACCTGCACACTACTCTTTCGCTCTTACTTCAGCCTGCACCCTCTTCCTTTTTCCAGCTTCCCCAACCCCAGTGGTTTCTGGAAGCTGTAGTCCAAACTCCCAATGCGCACATCTCTGCAGACTCCCCCGTTTCCTCCTGCTGACAGACTTTACCTTGACATTATACTAGAATATTTGTGTATATCCGAAACACTCAACCTAAGGCAACTTTGCTGTGTGGGTGTTTTTCTTGAAGGCCCACTTAGACTTTCTGATGATGCAGAAATGGGAAGGTGGATGCTGTTTCCCAGAAAGTGGAATTTGACTCCAACCTGGTGCAGGGACCATTGGAACCTAGTCCCATTTTGAGGCCAGAGCATCCTCGCACCTCCGTGCCAATGGCTCTGCTGTCTGCCGCAGCCAGGAAGAAGTCCCGTGTGAGGAGCAGGCCACCTTCACGTGACCACTGCCCCAAATCCAGGATGGTCTCTTCTGTCAGAGTAAGGTTTACATGCCCCTATGTCTAGGTAGGCCCATAGTACTATTTTTATGCCATGACTCCTTGTTAGCTGCCTACCCTGGAATGGAAAACTATCAAGTAATCACCTGCTACTTTGGTGGCCAATCAATACCCCCGTGGTCTCTTCCAGTCCCTTTCCACTCCACCCCGGCCTGTTTTAGGCTAAGGTCAAGCGTGGTTCTTCCTCAGTTGAGTGGGTTCTCTATGATCTGGATGGCGGAAGATTTACTAACCTGGTATCCTGCATCCTGTATGTATGTCTGCCCTAGGGTGAGCATTTGTGCAATTAATGGTGATGGCAGATTGTTCCTGACTTGTTCCTTCATCTTTTGTTGTGAGGCAAGCGAGAGACTCGGGGGCATCTGAACCCTAAGGTCTCCCAGCTTGGGGCTTGCATGTGGGATGTCTGCCATAGATCTGGGGGTGTCTGAAGCCCCAGGCTGACAGCCCGAGGCTGTCTAGCTCCCTGGCTAGACAGCAAACTACATGGGGCTAGAACATGCAAAGGAGTCCTATAAATCTGGACACTTGGTCATAGCACTAGGGAAGAGCTGGAGGGATCCCTCCTCCCCATGCGAGTGTCTGGGGTGCTCAGGTTGTGAGACACTAGAGCGGAGCACAAGGCAGGGGCTGTTCAGTGCCTGATCCTTGGCTCCGATTCTGCTCCAGCCAGCCCCATTCTAGGTCCCTGCCCAGGTCCAGGTGAAAGCACCGCAAAGGAGAGGAGCCCTGGCAGGAATGAAGCCCACAATGTCCTGCCAGTGGTCTCCCGTGCCCATTGTGGTCTGCAACAGCTGAACACGTGCTGTGAGCAGCTTGGATCGAGGGCAGCTGGAAGCTTGCAGGGTACCTTCACCTCAGCTGCACGCCACTCGTCCACAGGACAAGCAATTCTCTGCTCCATGCAGCAGTAACAGAGGTGCTGACTGTCATGGGGGGGATGCAGTGGGGCCTCCAGCAGCACCAGGAGCGACGGCCTGAGACTGGGAAACGAGAGTGTCTGTGGGGAGGGCACAGCACATATATGTCCATGTGTTGGTGCAGCCCTTCATGCAGGCAGGAAGGACAGTGTGGCCCCTGAGCTGGGCAAAGGGGAATCGCAGCCCCCAACTCCTTCGGAGGTGTCAACAGCTCCCTATGGGGTGTCTTTGTGTGGGCTCTGGGGGTAAGACCATGGGGCTGGAAATCCCTGCAGCTCTTGCCCGAGACCACAGGGAAGATGGAGCCCCCGCCAGTCACCATGGGGGCAGGCAGTGCCCGGAGGCCCTGGCAGGAGGGAGAGCAGGATGGAGAGGAAGCTGTGAGGACTCGGGGCCGGGGAGGCCGGCTGGGGCTGTGGGGAACGGGCTCAGCTGCCCAGTGTCTGGAGCCGGGCAGTGGATGTCAGTCTCTGTGTCCCCCGTGCAGCTTCCCCCTGCGCTCCTGTGCTTTGCCTTCACCCCAGGACTTTGGATGCGGCCCCTTGCAGACAAGACCCAGGCTTGCTCCCAGGGTGGCAATGGCAGGTAATACTGGGGTGCACTGGACAGGGAGGAGGAGGGGACCCCATTGCCCACTCCAGTAGGCTCATGACAGGCTCGGGCCAGATTAGGGACAGAAGGAGCTGAAGCCCAGAGGGACTCAGGAGGACCCACAGTCACAGGGAGGTCAGTGGCACAGCTGGGCCATGGGCCGGTGTTCCCAGAGCCCCACCAAGCACCTCCCGTGCCCTCTCACATGTGCATACAAGGAAACTGAGGCAGGGAGCGCAGCCCTAGGCCCTGCAGCAGCTCTGGAATAGACCCCAGCTCCCGGCTCCTTGGTCCAGACCAATCCTCCGCCACTGCATTGTGTGGCATCCTTGTCAGCGCTCCCTCTACTGTCAGCTGCTGTGGGCACAGCCACACGCCTGGAGAGCCTGAGCATACTCAGGGGATGCCCCAGACAAGCAGGAGGCTCAGTGTGTTGGGATGGGGTTGGGAAGCCCTTTAATCAGGACTCCTACTCCAAACAGCCCTGGACCCCGCTTGGGAGCTGAGAAAAGCACCGACTTGAGAGAGGTGTGTCCCGCGCCCCCAGCAAACCCCCTGCCCTCATCTTGGCCCCCTTCCTGAGGTGGACTCCTCGTGGTGAGCATGTCTCGGCTTCCTCCTGGTGAGCATGTGCACGGCCAGGATCCCGGGGACCAGGACTGCCAGCACCCCCAGCAGGATGAGCCCCTTGGCACGGCAATAGGACAGTGAAGGGGCCAGGGTGGTGCCTGAAAGAAATGAGACATGTCCGGGGGTTAGTTCTGTGTGGAAACCTGCTGCTGGGCTGCACTTGGGCTCAGGGACATCCTGGAGCAGCTGGGACAGGGTCACTGCATCACTTGGTGTGGCCAGACAAGCCATGCATCGCACTCCCAGCCACCCCCTGCAAACCCTCCTGCCCAGGGCAGGGCCTGCAGGGTACTCGGTGCATGGGGTCTGGTAGGGTCCCTTTAGAAAGGCTGGGAGCCTGCGAGTGGTGCTCACTGTGTGCTAGGCTGCAGATCCAGCTGGCACAGGCAGCCTGGCCTGGTGGGGTGTGTTTCCCTCTGGGTGAAGGGGCCTGTGGCTGGGACCTGGGGATCTTTTGCCAAAAGACAGTCCCAGAGCTTGTGACAGGCACTGGCAGGGTCCAGGCCTCCCCTTTGGAACAAGAAACCTGTCTGTGCAGAGAAACAGGTGCACACAGCAGGGACTCGGACCCAGCCATGGAGCTGCAGGCTGAGCAGAGCCAGCTCAGGGGGTGCAAAGGGCTCTGGGGGCGAGGGCAGGGTGCTGGGTGGGTGGGGAAGGGGTGGAACGGGAATGCCTGGAGGGGCAGTGAGTGCGTCCGGGGCCCAGAGCCAGGGCAGCAGCAGGCAGTGGGGTCTCAGAGCAGGAGCAGCCACACTGTGTGGC